ACTTAGCATGTCTCAAATTGAACTGACCATCTTGCTCCCCTGAGGTACTGACAAATCTTTCTTGTCCCCAAGCAAAAAATTTAGCTGTTATTCTTGATGCCACTCGTTTTCCCTTATGCCCACAATCAGTCAGTTACCAAGTGTCCTCAATTCTACTTCCTAAATACCGAATTTCTTATCTCTCTCAGACCCACTGCCACCACTTTGCTTCAGGCCAGACTTCTGGTTTCCCTTTCATTAAAATTGTCTCCCTCTAATTCAGCCCCCTAACACCGCAACCAGAGAGAGCTTTCTAGAATGCAAATCTAATTGTGTCCATCTCCTGCTTAAAAACTTCCCATGGTTCCCCATTGCTCTTATGTCTGGACCCCTGTACACAGCCTCCGCTCTTTCATCATCTGGCCTGTGCCTGTCTCTCCAGACTATCTCTGACCCGCCCTGCCTCACACTTTACAGCTCAGCAGTATTAAAATGCTCTTAGTTCTCCAAAAGTACAGTGCTGTTTCTTACCTCAGTCTCTTTCCTCAAGCCGCCTTCTCTTTCATGTGCAGCTTTCCTGACCCTTGCCTGCCTAATTCCTATTCATCCTACAGAAAAACCGTTGCCTGCTGTACCCACTCCACCAAAAGCCATGTGAGTTGTTCCTACCTGGGGCACCCACAATACCCTGCACCTAGCAAATTTTACATTATTTTTACATGTTCATCTCTCCAACCAGATAGACCCTTAAGACAGGGTCTCTGTTTCTGTTCTTTAAGTGCTTAGCATATACTAAGTGCTCAAAATGTGTTGAATGAAGACTCAATTCCCAAGTGCAAAAATTATGATCAGTGTAGCTGCCATAGGGGACACGTTGCAATGTGCCAGATGCTGCAAAGCAATTCATATACATTCCTTCATTTGTTCCTTACAGCTTCCCTGAGATCACTGTCCTCATCCCTGTTTATTCAGTGGGGATTTAAAGAGGTGAAGGGACTTGTCCAAGGCCACACAGGCAGAAAAGGGTGGAGCCTTGTCTGCTGTAGTCAGAGTCCTCAGTCCACAGTCAAGCCTGTGCCATCAGGAGTATGCAGAGACTGCTAGCTGCCCACTCCATCTATTCTCTCCTTTCTTGGTAACAGAACCCCAGTTTCTATTTGGGGTGGGAATGTACCCAGTTAACAGACCACATTTCAGCTAGGTGTGCTATGTGACTCAGTCCTATGGGATTTCCAGAGGTCTCCTTCAAATGAAATGTGGACCACGTAACTAGAGCCCCAGGAGCCATCTTGAGCCATGAGGTGTCCTTGAAGATGGAAGCCAGGATTGAAAGTGGCACTGCAGAAAGATGGGAGCCTGGGTTCCTGATGACACTGGGGGCCGTAGGGGTCATGGTCTGTGATGGGAAAATAAACTATCTCATTAAGCCACAGTAGTAGAGCTCTGTTTATGCAGCCAAACCCGGGACAAAGGGTCGGGTTGAATCTCACCCCTCTTCATCCCCTGGGGCCAACTCAGAGAAGAAGCCAGCATGGGTGATATAAAGTGTTTCTTTATTTGAACATCATTCCACCTGCACTGAAGCTCAAATCCAGCAGCAGCAGAAGGGATCAGGACCAAGATAAATGGTACCAAATTGGACAATGAACAGCGAGGACACATTCAGACAGAACTCACTAATGGGGTGTAGACAACACCAAGCTATCCTAACGACACACAGCACAGGCCCTCTGAGGTCTGCTGGTCAGAGCTCTGGGAAGGACTGTGGCTCCCTTGTTCCCTCCTCAGGAAACTCCAGTCCCACTTGAAGGCTAGCCCTGAGCCAGGCAGGGGCCTGCGGAAGTTTCTTGTGCTGGGAAGATCCCAGCTTTTCCAAAGAGAGGGTTTCCCTTTCTTAGTTCACACTGGAAGCTGGAGAAGGGTGATTCCCCTGTGCCCAAGCGGGAATCTCAAAAGAAGGCCAAAGAATTTTCTCCCACAGCCTTGTCTAAAAGCTCTCAACTTCTTGGCTATTCCAGGCCTGAAAAGGATCTTGATCCTATCCATAGTCCTCACCCCCTCAGGAAAACAATGTCTTCCTCCATGGATGCTGGTCCCCAAAGAGGAAAGTTTTCACATTGCAGAGACCCAGAAAGACTTGACCAACCAGTGCTCCGAACCACCTCTAGGTTGTGGCTGCTTTCGCTTATCCTGAAAGAGTCCCCAGACCAGGGCAGAGAAAACCAGATAGATAGTGCCAGACCCCTCTGATCTTGTCACAGCTGGGGGAGGGGTGCCTCAATGGGCCGCTTGCAAAGCTCAGCTTCTTTCAGGGACCAAGGAACAGACGATCTCTCTCCAGCCTCCTCCTGAAGGCTAAAGCCAAACCACCTGCCTTGGGTGAGGACACACCACAAGACTTCCCTTGCTATGATGGCTGCCATCTGGGCCCCAGGTTTGGTGACGCGTCGGCCTCACTGGGGGCCCAGCTGCAGCATCTGTTACCACTCTGCTCCTGCCTCTGCTGAAGCCTCAGGGACAGGGCTGTGGTTTGACCCGCACTCCAACCTCCTTCCCTTCCCTGTGTTACCCTGGCATCCCTTCTGCTTACCCAACCCTGCTTACCGGACCCCAGAATCCTGGGTGCATCTCCAGGCTGCCCCTTCCTCTGCCAGGGCAGCAGCTGTCTGGGTGGATGGTGACGTGGAAACACTGTCAGTCCACCCCAAAGGAAATTAACCTCCCTCTTCTTGGCCACTAACCCAGTCAAGTGGTGCTAACCTCCTCAGAAATCACCTGGGCTCAGTATCCCCGGATGTGGTCCCCCTGCCCCAAAGGGGTGGGGTGTTGGCTGCCTGGGCCCCGGGCCTGGGCCTTGGCCTCTGAGGTGGTAGGTTCTAACCTCTCCATCAGGGCAGAGGGATCTGGTGGCCTTCTTAGGCGGTAGGCATCCTTTGGGGACAAGCTCTCCCTCACACATTGTGCACACAGCAGCTGCCCCCCCATTCCTTGGGTCCCGTCTACTCTATCCTCCTCTCTTTCCCCTTTCTTTTTACCCCTGCATCCCAGTCTGGCCTCCCACAACCCATCTCTCTCCATTTGCCTCCTTCACCTTCCTATTTCTTCTTCCGTCTTTCCAGCCACCTCCCCTCCCCCATCCCAAGTTCTCTGTCCATCTTGGTCCCCTCTCTGTTCACTCTCTTCTCTCTCCATTTCTGTACCTCTCTCAGTACCCGCTCCTCCTCCTTGCTGTCTCTGTCTCTCCGTCTCCCTCTCTCCTTCTCTCCATCTCTTACTTTCCCTATCTCTGCACCTCCCTTCTTCTCTTTCTCCCACCTCTGTCTTCTCCCCATTCCTGATCACTTGCTCCCAGCCCCTACCCCTGCAGCCTTCCAACACTGGGCTTTGGTTTGGATCCTTGAGGAACTCACTTCTGCCCCCCACTCCCTCCCATTAAGCCTGGGACCCCAGTGTACAGCCCACCCCCCTGGCAGCTGCTGGGGAAGGCACCAGTCGTGAGGCTGCAGTGTGGGGCTTGATGGGAGCAGGAGAGCGGGGAGCACAGTGCCAGGGCCAGAGCACTGGGGGGAAAGTGTTTGCCCAGAGGAGGGGGTCGAGAGGGTGGGGTCAGGACTTGTTAAGTTCCAGGTTTCAGGATCCTACCAGGACCCAGCATCTGATTCCAGTTAGGGTCCAGATGGGGCACTCAGACAGAGGATTTCTAGGATCTGTCTTGGGAACCCTAACTCTCAGGTCCAAGTCCATGGAAATGAACACAGGATTGGCAAATACATGGCACTCACTGCTTTTCTCCCCTCCTTTGCCTGAGGCTGACATAACGCAATGGTGACGATATGCTTCCCCATTGAGCCTCACGCTCCTGCACAGTGGACCAGGCAGCCAGTACCGAAGAGAGAAGTAGGCACAGAGATGAAGCCAACCTGCTGCCCAAACAAGGGGCCGAAAGGAGTTGTCCACGTCCCAGGCCAGATGGCTGTACTGCCAGGTACACGGAGCAGTGCAGAGAGTTCAGACACACCTGGAGTCTCCCTCGCTTGCTCCCTGCCAACGGCACAGGAGATGCCCCTACGTGGGAGGAGGGGGGAGAGAAGACTCCTCAGCTGCCACACACGCGTGCGCGCGCGCGCACACACACACACACTCACACACTCATGCCTCGGCTCCAAGCACTGCCCATCGGGCTGCAGACCCTGGGCATATCGCAAGGCGAGAGGTGGGCAAGGAGGAGGAAGAGGTGGGGACAGGGTTACAAGGCCTGGGAGTGGGGACAGGGGTACCCTGTTCAGAGGTGACCTGCAAGTTCAAGTTATGCAGAAAAGTATCAAATAGGCAAGACAGTCTCTGCCCTTGGCAGATGCCTGGGGTGGGGGGCATGAGAAGGAGCAGAGGGGGGATGTGTCCCCTAATTCCCCACTCTAGGGTCCCCCTCTCTAACCCCCAACCCTGACAACAGGGCCAAGAAGTCTGTGCTGTACAAAATAGGCCGGGGTCAAGGGTCCAGTCACTGGTGAGACATCCCAGCAGAGAGGAGGCCAGGCCAGCGCCCCACCCCCACACCCTGAGCCGCTTCCAGCCCCCGCTGCCATGGTCAGGTGCCACCAAGACCAGAGTCAGAGTGCCTCCTCCCGCTGCCTCCAGAGCCTATCTGTCTTTTCCAGACTCTGGGCTGAACAGGGCCCCCACCAGCAGTTGACAGAGAGGCCCTGTGCTTTCTCCCTCGGTGCAGCTCAGACTCCTTTGGGAGAGCTGGGAGCAGGCTGGAGCAGGGACAGAGAGGCCCCAGGGAGGCTGGTGGCTCCTGGAGCTCTGTGACGATGTGATGGAACCATCATTGGCAAAAAAAAAAATAGTAGGAAAGAGTCCGATCTGCCCTGGGGCAGTGTCTTGAATAAGTAAGTTTCTGCAGGAGGCAGGAGCCAGAGGAGGCGAGGATACAGCCAGGCAGCAGCCCTCCAGACTGAGGGAGCCACAGCGCCTCTTTCCCCTGAAGACTCTGCAGGGCCGCCAGGCCAGGCTAGAGAGGAGAGGAGAAGCCCAAGGGACAGGGGGCTCCGGCTCCCCTACGTCAGTTGAGGGAGGAACGGAACCAGGCCCTCCCAGGGTCTGCAGGGCTCTCCCCTCTCCCAGGCTGTACCCCAGCCCCAACCTCTCTTCAAAGCCTGGAGCTCACAGGCAGGTAGCAGGTGAGAAGTCTGTCCGAGATCAGGGTCTTCCCTCGGAGCGTGACTGGAGGGATGAGAGGGCAGGCGACAGGACAAGCTGAGGGCAGGTCAATTCCTGGGCTGTGATCCTGGCCTTCAGGGTCCCTGTGAGTGAGCAACGGGACAGGGGAGGACTCCCCATCCGGAGACATCACCCCCTGGCCGCAACACGGAGCTTACTGTAGAGCCCACAAAATCTAAGAGAGAGAGAGAATCAGAGAAAGTCAGAGGGCATTGGGGCTCCCCTTGGCCACTCCTCAGGGCAAATCTGGGCAGAGGGGTGAGCTGCACAGGCTCTGGAATCCCAAGCAGGCCTCTGACTAGCCAGATGGCCTTGAGTGAGCCATTTGACCTCTCTGAGCCCCCATTTCCTCATAGAAAATGGGCATAATAGCCTACTTCACAGGGTGATTCTGAGGGGTCAAAAAAACATACATAATGCCAGCCAAGGACTTTGCACAGTGTTTGGCACGGAGTAAATGCTGGAAATGATAGCAATTTATTTTATTTTTTCCTTTTCTTCCAGAGGTCTTTGGTCAGCACTCAACTGTGAGGCTCACTCATTTTGAGGTCCCAGTGAGGGAGGGAGACCCCCGGACGCTGAAGGAAGGCAAACTGGGGCTTCCTCACGTCACTTTTAACACTGAGCTGTTAGGGCACTTTGGGCAGGAAGGAGAGGATGTTGAGGGGGGCCACCTCACACCAGTCACATCCCCAAGCCCCTTCTTCAGAAAGGCCAGATGGCTGTCTTAGTCTTGCACTTCTGAAAGCTGCCACTAGAGGGCAGGCACTGACCTCACACCAAGACGACAGAAACCACCTGGGGTGTCAGGATCTCCAGGGGCAGGAGCCTCAGAGAAGGACAGGTTAGCAGCCCAGCAGCCCAGGAGGGCCCGGAAAAGGGGGCAGCAGTGAAGAAGAGCTTGGCCTCTGGACTTGGACCTGGGTTCAAATCCTAGCTCCACCACTTAGGTGACCTTGGGCATCTAAGTTAGTTACTGGACCTCTCTGGACCTTGGCTTTCTCATTTGTAAAATGGTGGTCATGATGCCTCCCTGATGGGGAGTCAGGGGCAGTGACGCTTTTACTGAGCATTCACCACATGCCCCTTTACAGGCATAATCTTTCTTCCTCACAGGACAGCCCTGTAAGGTGGTACTATTCTCACCAGCCTCATTTTATGAAATGCAGGAAACTGAGACTCAAGGAGGTGAAGTCATTTCTTAGCCCAGCCTGCTTCCGACACAGACGATCTACCTTCATAGGCCAAGGGTTCCACCACAATACTAGACTACCTCCTGCCAAATGAGATAGTAACTCTCACCACCATTATCCCCATTTTATAGATGAGAGACTCCAAGAGATGAATGTAATTAATGGAAAGTGCTAAACATAGACCCAGCACATGCTAATAGCTCAAGGAAGGGTGTGACTATGAAAATGACTCCTAGTTCTCACAGCGTAGAACGCACCCCTAGACAGACAGGGTGTCTGTCCATCAGTGCAATGCAGTGTCTCCCCTTGCTCCTGGGGCAGGGTGGGCCCCCAGGTCAGAAGACCGACCCTCCTTTGGAGAACGATCTGGCACTATCATTACAATTGTAAGTGTGCAATTCTGCTTCTGGAAAGACACCAAGAAAACACTTGTGTATAAGAGGGCACAGACAAAGATGTTCATTGTAGCATAGTCAATAATAATAAAAACCTGGGAACCTCCCTAATAGCCCCTAGAAGAATGGTTAAGAAACTACACTTCTTTCATCTTATGTAATGCTAAACATTAGATAAAAAGGGCAAGACAGTTCTCCATAAAATGATAAAGAAAGAGCTTTAAGATATGCTCTAGAGTTGAGCACAGAAAGCAATCTGAGGAGGGGTTTGTTGAAGATGATGCCTATCCCATGTTATATCAGCACATAACACTATATTTTGTAAAGGGATGTATAATGTTTGTAGATACATAGATAACCATCTGATAGAGCAGGTTACCCCTGAGTCTCTGGCCTTATATGTAAATTTTTCTTTATTATATTTTAATGTTAGTTGATATATACTATTAAAAAGAAACAACAGGGCCGGCCCGTGGCTTAGCGGTTAAGTGCATGCGCTCCGCTGCTGGCAGCCTGGGTTCGGATCCCGGGAGTGCACCGCTTCTCTGGCCATGCTGGGGCCGCGTCCCACATACAGCAACTGGAAGGATGTGCAGCTATGACATACAACTATCTACTGGGGCTTTGGGGGGAAAAAATAAATAAATAAAATCTTTAAAAAGAAACAACAGGCCTAAAAAGGAGTCACTTGTGCTCAGTCCCACATCAGCAAACCAAGACTTAATACCAACTTAACCAACTGCAGTTTCAGCTCCTCCCAAGAATGTAGTCTTTTTTTTCTCCTTCTTTTTTTTCTCCCCAAAGCCCCAGCAGATAGTTGTATGTCGTAGTTGTACATCCTTCTAGTTGCTGTATGTGGGACGCGGCATCAGCGTGGACGGAGAAGTAGTGCGTCGGTGCACGCCCGGGCCGCCAGTAGCGGAGTGTGCGTACTTAACCGCTAAGCCACGGGGCTGGTCCCCACAAGAATGTAGTCTTAACCAGTAAGTCTGGAATTTTCTGGTCAGCACCAATGAGGCAATCTGCCACATACACTCTTTCCAGCCTCCAAAGAAAAATGTATCCCTTCCTCCTTCTGCCTATAAAAGCCTTCCCTTTTGTACAGCTCCTTGGAGCTCCCTTCTATTTCTAGATGGGATGCTGCCTGGTTCATGAATCATTGAACAAAACCAATTAGATCTTCAAATTTACTGAGTTGAATTTTTGTTATTTAATAGACTTGGTGGCGGGGCCGGCCCCGTGGCTTAGTGGTTAAGTGCACGCGCTCCGCTGCTGGCGGCCTGGGCGTGCAGCCATGCACCGCTTCTCCGGCCATGCTAAGGCCGCGTCTACTGGGGCTTTGGGGGAAAAATAAATAAAATTATAATAGACTTGGTGGCAGCAATGGGACCTGAAGTGAACTTCTGATGGCATTTGGGGACAACGAGAAACACAGGAGTGGTACCCCACAAACCCTTTGAGTTCTCCATGTTTCTCGCCATTTCCAAGGGCCATGAGTAAGTTCCTCTCAGTTTTGAGCTCCACTTTCTATGCATCAAGCTCCTGATCTAATTGGCTTTCCAATACAGGACAGGTCATCTTGAGCTGGCAGACAGTTCTGCCCAGAGCCCAATGGAGCTGGTAGATGGTTTTGCCTGGAGCCAAGCCCCTAGCCTTTCAGACTGCAATTCCCAGGTTTTTGAGCAGAAAACCTCAGCCCTTAATTCTGTCCTCAGATTCCACATTGAGGAACTGCTGATAGTTCAAATCTACAGTTCTCCATTTGTTTGGAATCAGTCTGCAGTCCCCATTCTTTGGGATCTCCTGGTTCAATCTTTTCCCCAGTCCAAGGTTCCATAGGAATTGTTGGTGGTACAAACAAGGCCTTCTCTTGGCCAGCACACAGTAACATCTCTTGGTTACTGCCAATATATTAAGATGCATATGTTTGTTGGTCTTGTTTTGTGTAGATAAAGGCTAATTGCTAATGGGAATCTCAGAAGTCAAAAAAAGTCACAAAAATTGGTGGGCAAAAGTCGAGTGTTTAAGAGCTGTGAGAGTGCTAACTACCTGACCCAAAGACTCCCATGTTAGGATAAGTTGCTCATGGAATGCGTCAGATTGACACTAACCCCATTTTCTTGGGGTTGGTCACCCACCAACCCCAAGAAAATTTCCATGCAATGAAGTACTCTATAAAATGCCACATAATCTCCAGCCTAGCAGCTCATCCCTTTTACGTATTAGTTTGGCTCTGAGAAACCCAAAGTCTTAGCTAAAAATAAATAAATAAATAATAAAATGGGACCTTTAAATTTCAAAGAGTCAAGCGTGCCACCTTCTGGCGCACCTGCTTATTTTATGTCTAAGGACTATAATCCTGGTAGCTGTAAATATCTAGAAAAACGGCAAAATCTTACTGAAAACAACCTAGAATTAAAATGGCCATTAGAAGGCATGTTCCAATTAGATAAGATCATTTAAGAAGTGTACCTAAAAGTACGAGATCCCAAATTAAACAAACAGAATGGGACACCTATTTTAATTGGTATGCAGAAGTTTTCAAAAGGCTTCAAAATTCCAAAAATACCTTCATTGAAAGTTTCATTGCAAAAAGGATCTAATGAAAAATTAAAGACACAAGAGGTACCTAAAACAAGAGACTACAAGACTAAACAAAAGTCCACCAGCTTAATGGCCCTACAGACACCCCATCCCAGAATTGAGGAGACTCAGAGGGATTTTCTGGTAAACTGCTATGTTATTCCCCTAAACAGCCAAGGGGAAACTAAAATTAAAATCAGTGAAAACACCTTGCCAAATTTTAGTAAATATCAGAGCTACACCCTCCACTTTAAACTCCACTCAGAACCTGTAGACAGGATCCTGGAAAAAACTGGTAGAAGCAGGCTAAGGTTGAGAATTCTTAACCAGAATCAGCTCTCCCAGATCTCTGTCTGTAGTACCCAATAGAAAGAGGAAAATAAAATATTTTTTGCACCCTCTTTGGGGACATCTCTTGAATCCAAGAGGTTGTTCAATATTGCCAGATATATTCGCTGCTTGTTCCAGCTGAAACCTGACAAGATATTTGCAAGGATTTAATAACTCTATGATCAGAAATTTGGAGAAACTAGAAGCTCATATTCAGAGCCTGATAGGAATTTCTACCCAATGTACAAATCTAAATGTACCCAGAGTAAAAGAAAAACCTTCTAAAGCCCTTGTAAAAGGATTTATGGGTGTATCAACCTATGATGTCATTTAAGTTGTAACCTAAATTCCTTGAGGAATTAAAAGCAACTGTCATTATCTTAGAAATCTTTGCAAAACCAGAAATGCAGCTCTAGAGGCAAAGTCCATCTGTCCTTTTTACCAATCCCAACACCTCCCCTATTTATCTCAAAAGGCTTGTAAGTATTGTAAAAATTATGACCTTAAGAAACCAAAGTACTTCTTGGAGGAACTTGCATTCTTTCCCTGTACCTTTGAGATGTAAATATTCTGCTTGATCCCTCCAGGAACTCTTATTTTGATGATCTCTTTAAAATACAAACTTTAGGGAGGTAATTCTTATCAAAGGGAGAATAAAAGGGGGAAAGGTCATT